GTAAGAAAAGTTCAGTTGACAGGCTAAGCGGTCATTACAAAATTTTAAGAAAGTAATGATCTTTTTTTTGCATAAAAAGGCCTAGTTGATATCAATTTTGAAGCATGAATAATAATTTTTCACACAAGCATATACAAATTTTACATCTAAGGATGGTGGCAATGGCCAGGATAATTGCCCTTGTGAATTTTTTCAAGTCCTAGTTGCATGCTCACTACCATTGTGACTACAGAATTTGTAGCTGCCATGCTAGGTTGAAAACCTGACAATTGATATCAAATTTTACTGCTTTTTAGAAAATTTACTGTAATAGAAGTATGTCTACATGCAGTTAAATTTTAAATGTATTTTTATTCTATTTTTGCATGTTTTACAGAAGTTTTATCTGTAAGAGGCTTTCTCTATTTTCTTATCTTAAAGTTTGTTCAGATTCTGTGGAAGCAGGGAGTTGGGGTAACTGTGGCTTAAGCCACCCCCAATAATTTCCAAAACATACTTAAAATCATACCAAAAATCGCCCTGCTCTTGGTTTTTAGCATGTTTGCCCCCCCCCCAAAAAAAAGCCTTGGCCCCTCAATCTATAATATGCTCTTTGGTCCTTGAGGTTGTTTATCTCGACTTTCAAAGATTCTTGATCTATTTTTTCATTAAGTAATAAGGTTCTTGAGTATATCAGAAGCCAAAATTATTGCACTATTCAATTTTGCTGTTTCCTAAAAATTATTAAGTTTCTGCATATGCTTTCAATAATGGACTTTCCTTTTTTGAAATAAAGCATATGATTTTTTTGTGAGTAAACAACAAAAGCCGATATATACTAAGTGTAATCTTACGAATCAAATTTCAATGTTTTGTTACGAAAAAGCTCAATTGATTTTGTAGTCATTTATCCATTCAACTTGTGTATAAATTACTGTTTATTATTTTGAAATGATTAGTCTAAAATTCTGACTACCCCAAAAACCTAGTTTATAAGTTGACCTATCTTCAAAAACTATCAACTGTGTGCAAAACCAGTTTCATAAAACCTAATATGTACGAAATTCGGTTTTAGGGCATATTCCCAGGATTTTTCAGTTGCATAGTTACCGTTATGAGTTTTAGGAAGCCATTATGCCTTATAACGAGATATTTACTACATGGTTTTTCTTCATATTATTTTATTATGTTTGTAATTGCTGCTCTAAAGAAGAGGAAACACGGCTGAATTGGTATCCTAATCCCCTGAATGATTCAGAGTCATTCTATTTGTTATTAAAAGAAGTCCCCGTATTCCTAGAGTACAATTTCCTGAAAAAGCAGTGTTGAAAATTCTTCGATTTTAAGGGGTGGTGTTTAGTGAAAGGGCCCTGTTCAAGAGGGCAAATCCGTGCAAAGCAGCGAAAGTCACAAGTTACATCAAAACATAAAAGTGTTATGAGCAATAGATACAGTAATACATACAGCAGCATTACCCGTGGAAATGTTTGTCACCGTAGTTGGTTAATAATTATGCTGTACTTGCTAAAGGACATTGCAAACATATTAGAATGATGTTGATGGTTACAATTCAAATAGGGTGCTAGGCCTCTCATAAAAGCTATATATGCCATGTATTGAGTCTAAATAAGTTTGACAAAAAATCGATGTTAATCGCAGTTACTGGCTAATTAAATGTTTTATCCCTGTTTGCTTAAAGGCAATCTGTCATGACGTTGATTGATTATAAGAACAAAGGGACTTTTTATTGTTTCCAGTCCCCCTTTAATTTATCGCATTGTAAAAAATATGGCGAAGCGCTGGAATTTTGTTTAGGCTATTGTTCCAGCTATTGTTCTCGTTAACCAATCCACAACGAGACATATTGCCTTTAACAACTTATGGCAAGCTGGTTTGCTAGACAAATCGAATTTAGATAAAGGTTCTTGCTCCTCTGCTTTAAAAGTACAAACTCATTACAAAGACAAGCAAAACGTTTCCTCTGTCAAAGTAGATGCACGACATGGCAGTGCCTTGCAATATCCCCGAATATTAATTATAGATCTAATATAGCCGAAATTTCATGTTTGACAGATGCCACGTTTGAAGAATAGTCGCAAAGCCAAGAAGAGGCAGAAAGCCAAGCCCAAGCTTGTTGTTGCAATGGTATCCAAAACCTCATTGCGGAGCAAAAACAAGCGCGCTTTGGAAGCAGAGCATGAAGCAGAGGCTCAAACCGAAAATGAGGCATCGGGTCGACGACCAAAAAGACAGAAGCCTGCAAAAAGATTTGTCGAGGAGGAGACGCCAAAGAAAGAAGATAATCGCAAGAAAGTTGCAGGAAAGAAAACAAAACGAAAGAAGAAACCAACTAAAACAACCCAACCCAAAGCAGCAAAGAGAAAAGCAAGAAATGTCGAAGGTTTGTTTCTGTTTGTTATTCTATATTGCGATTATCAAATTATATGTAAAACGTTTTTTCATCATCTATCAAATAGGAGGTAATGTTGCCGTAGAAACCTTGATAAATCACATAGGATAAAGCCAGGAATGCTTAATTTTTCTATTCGTAAGCAACTGGTACTGCAGTAAGAAACGTGTTTTGTATGTTTGTCTCCTTAAGGATACCCCATATGGACAATGGGAAAGTTGCGATCGTATTTTTTAAATATTTCTGCGTACCTTTGTCACGCACTTTATGTTTATTTGCTTTAGTAAAAGCTGTGGTCTCACTAACGTAAAGCTAAATCTTAAAGAACAGAGTAGTAGATGGTTTTTCTGTGTCAAAGTTTTGTTGACCCGCAATAATCAACTTGCATCTCATGGTTATGAGTCATAATATCCTCTATGGCTTTAAGTCATAACTTATAACCTGGTCATATTATCAATGTTTGCACATTCTACCAACTCTGTTTGTAATTTAGTTTCAGCTTCTAAACGACAAAAAGTACAACAAGAAGTCGAGGAGATGGGTGCTGAGTTTGACGAACTTGGGGAGTATGAAGACATGAAAGTCGAAGAAGATGCGGAGGTGCTTGTGATCACAGCAAAATCGAAGCAGAGTGTAAAGCACTCTCCAGCAAGTAAAGGAAAAAAGAAAGCAAGCAGACACGCGGCGAAGGAGCAAGCATCGCATCTGTTGATCGAAAATGTCCCAGAATCCCACCATCAAGAATCGGACGATGATGAAGAAGGGCAGGATGAGGATGATGATGATATTGACGATAGCCTGTTCTTTGGAATACCGACCGAAAAATCGCCAGAAATCGGTACATGCACGCATTGTAAAATGAGATTCCACCGGGAAGAGCTTGCAGAGCATGCTGCTAGCTGCCCTGAAAGGTATGTGCAATGCCGAGAGTGCAGCAAAGTTCTCTCAAACTTGCAGACATTAGAAAGACACCATAAAAGGTACATCATTACTTGTATATATTTACTGCCTTCCTGTTTTGCTTTTTGAAGCATCTGTAGCCCTTAAGTGACTGATTCAGCCAAATAACTAAGCAAATGCATATATGATGCGTACGTCGAAATATATATGTCGACTTACGCATCATATCACGTTTTTTGTTTTACCAATAGCGAAGTTGCAAAAATATTCTGCATTCGCTGTACATTTCAACTTTTCGACCAGAGTAAAGTTTTTGTCAAATTTTGCATGTGTATATGTTTGTTGTAGCTGAGTTGACCCAGATTCTGTAACGTCGATAGCTTATTTGCTCATTTGATTGAACTTATTTGCATCCTAGAATTTTCTTTATACTCACGATATGCATCTATGCTCATCATTATATTCAGTTTTTGAAAGCAAATATGCATGGATCTTGCTGTTGCATTTGGTTGTGTTAACTGAACTGTACAATCTCTCAAAGGTTTCACTTGAAACTGCGTGAAGTACCGTGCACTCTTTGTGACAAGATGTTCATAGACGAAGCAGCATCAAGAAAGCATTTAAAAACAGTACACTTCAAAGTGAAAAATTTCCATTGTCCCCATTGTGATAAATCATTCTCACAGCGGAACAAGCTAACCTACCATGTACGTACCCACTCGGGAGAGAAGCCGTTCTCCTGTCCAGAATGTGGAAGGGCTTTTTCGCTACTGTGGAACCTCAAAACTCACTTGCGAACCCACACGGGCGAAAAGCCATACTCCTGTGATGTTTGTGGACGGAAATTCACACAGAAGCAGAACATGACGTCACATATGACGACACACAAGAAGCCTAAGCTCGCAAGAAGCAGTAGTTACGTTGCTTTCTCGTCGGCTGATAACATGGACTACTTTCAGTTATCAGAGCTTAGACAATCAGGAAAACCAACCATGGTATGCTTTTATTTCATCTTTTATGTGATACTGGTTTTAATTTATACTCAACGTGTCTAACCAATCCCCTTTCAAATTGTAGCTCTGATTCTCAAATTTTATACGACCATTAGAGAACTCTCTATGTTGCAGTTATACAATCTATCGAAGCTTTTCTAATTGTACTTTGAAAGGTAATGGAATATTTTTTAACAGAACACATGGGTGTATCTACCTGCTTCGTTTAGTTCAAACAGTTGCCAAATGAGCTGGTTTACTTTTGTGTGGTTTATAATGCCCTCTTTCTGTTAAGGTTTCTGGTGGCGATGGGTCTACAAGGTACCATCAAGGGAGAATGGCTCAGGCAGGACACTACTTAATCGATCAGATTGGAAATATCACTCCAACTACATCAGGTGCTACTGGCAGCCACTCTGTTTCTGTGTCACAGAACAGCGACACAGAGAATGGGCTTGGGCTGTTGTCTTCTGTTGCACGAAAAGGTATGTATTTGCAACAAATGCTTTCTACAATTTAAAGTTGTGGCAATCAAACAAAAGTTTATCGACGCTCTTGATTTATTTTTAGTCCTGTGGAGGCATGGATGAGTTGATTCTAAAGTTTGAAGGTTGAAATCTAAAGTTTTTAGTGTGTAAAGTTTCCAATAGCCGTACAGTACTATCTTCCTGTATATCAGGGAGGTGTCATCCCATCTACCTATCCTCTTGTGATTATTTAACTCTTGACCATCAGGCAGTTTTCGTTCTTTTTCTTTGTTTTTTGTTTTTGTTGTTTGTTTTATAAAAAAATTATAGTATAGGTACATAGGCCGAGATGGCCCCAAACCTAATTACAATTTGTTTCTATTAATGTATCTATGAAAATTATTTACAAAATCTTACAGTACTGGAAATTATGTACAAAACTGAGTACAAAACAAGACAGAGTTTCCGCATTTATATAAACTAATCAACTTTAAACTTTTTCGATTAATAATACGTTAATACTGAACAAAAAAATAGCTTTTAGTTTTAATGTTATTGATATCAGGGGCTCTCTCTCTCTCGCTCCCTCTCTCTCTCGCTCCCACTCTCTCTCGCTCCCTCTCTCTCTCTCTCTCTCTCTCTCTCGCTCTCTCCCTCTCTCTCTCTCTCTCTCTCTCTCTCTCTCTCTCTCTCTCTCTCGCTCTCTCTCTCTCTCTCTCGCTCTCTCTCTTTCGCTCTCTCTCTTTCGCTCTCTCTCTTTCGCTTTCTCTCTTTCGCTTTCTCTCTTTCGCTTTCTCTCTTTCGCTCTCTCGCTCTCTCCTGAATCAATTGTACCTTTTTTCCAGTCAGTTATTGCTTGATTATTCATTTTGGTCTTTGCTAATAAAAAGATTAATGCAACTCACACCTGGCCACGTTGCACCCCCTGGCCAAGTATATATTTAGAAGGCAGTACTTTAACTGTTTAATGATTCTGTCTGACACTAATTTTCTTGTGACAATCTTCACTCAGAGCTTTAAATCGATGGACGAATTTTCATTCAAAAGTACATTTAATTAATTCTTATGTTTTCATTATTTTCATATTTTTAACGACTGTTCAGCTTCATCTGATTGAGAACGGTCTGCTGTGAGCTTTACTTGCAAACATTTACCATAGTACTATTTTGGCCACCAAGTGCGGCCTAACGCTCAAATATTTACTAGATTTTTCATTTGAAATTTTTAGCAGACTTTCTGGCCAGCTTTCGATAATAGCCCAAAAAATCGCTGACCCCGGACCTTTAAACAAGACAGCCCAGCTCAGGGGTGTCTTCCATACTCTCATTGCTTTTTTATTGACGACGTTTATTGAAGACAAGACTTTTGTTAAAAAAGATTTGTTTTTGATTAGGTGATAATGCCCAAGACTATAGTGGCGGTAACGTAGAGGTTGATGGAATAGTGGATGAAACTCACCTTGCTAATCAGATTCCCAACAACCCAGCGATTGATCAAGTCGTTGAAGTCCTTGTACAGCCACAGGGCGGTCATGGAGACACAACTATATCACTTACAACTGCTGATGTTGGCACCATTGAACATGAGGCATACATAAGTACTAGTAGGGTTGATGGTACCATTGAAACCTCTGACGTCTTTCAGGCAAGAGAAGGGGCGGTAGTTACAGCAAGTGCATCTTCGCTTCAACAACAACAGCAAGCCATGAATGCCCAGAACGTTATTCCTATAGGCAATGCAAATTTGTCAGGACTTGCTAACATTCTACAAAATCCTGAAGTGCTTGCTGCTATCAATGCTGCTGCAGCATCAAATAAGTTTATTGTGATTGGCCCGGTTGGAATGCTTTCAAATTCGAATGCAGCCACTACAAATACTGTTTCTGTGTCTAGTGCCTTTTCGAATTCAGATTCAACAAGTGAGACATCCGGACAACACGAAGTTAATGTAAGCCTTTGCTCATCGGAAGCAGTAGCCAGTGTCTCTGCAGGCCATATTGCAGCAGCTGGGGACGGGTCCAGTACAGCAGTGATGCAGGTGTCTGGCGTTAGCCAAATGGAATCTGGAATCATTCCTCCATGTGATGTAGAGATGATTGCTGCTGATACATCTCAGGACGTGTCGGTTGGCATTAGCAGCCTTGCTAGCGAGGAAACAGGAAATGAAGTACAAAGCAGTGTGTCGTGTGCCCTGGGAACTGTGATACAGAATAGAGGTAATGATGTAACTGGTGCTGGTGCTGAAGGATTGATGGTGAACCATGAAGAATCCCAAGTTCAGTCAAGTCAAGATGCTGCTTTATATACTGCAGTAAGCCAACATCAAAATCTAGAAGGGGAGGTGAGTAGCTCGGCAGGGACAATTCATTCAGATGATAATACGGAAGCAGATGCCAGTGTTTCAGATATTGACAATGGAACAGTGCAAAGTACTAATGTGTTGTCCGTTCAGAGTAGTAATGATAACGTTGTGTCACACGCCAGTATAGCAAGCTCAGACAACGTTTTCTACACTGTGCATCACGGCAGTAACGAAGTGCTTGTTTCTGCTGCGCAACAAAGTGGTGACGTTATTGATAACTCTGAAATGAATCAGCAATTTATTGTCACCATGAAAGAGCCATTTGTGTCTTCGAGTGGGTGCACAACCTCAATGGCAAGTGGAAGCTTTATCACTTCCAGTGACATGGCTGGAGGTGGGCAGTCAATGGTGATGGTCACTGCAGATGGACAGAGCTATTTCACAGCAGTGAATCTGCCTGATGCACTTAGTCGGGATGGCAGTGGGCAGCAACTGGTTCTAACACCAGCCAATTCCACTGCTCTTAATATAGATGGGACTATCACGATGAGCAGTATGCCAATTGTTGCTGGGGAGGATAGCAACAATGTCTTTTCAGCACAGCTACCGGAAGGCTCAGCTGCAAACAGCATGGAACCGGTTCAGAGTGGAAATCAAACTGACAGTTCAGGACTTGAACTAGGGGACTTTGCTGTAACCGATTCAACCTCTAGGGTTTATGCAAATTCTTCGAATATTGATGAATCAGCACTATCTTATACTGCTGTAACAGAATCAGAATCTAGTATTGAGGTATCTGGCTCCAACAACCTTCAACCCGACTCCGGGCAGCCTAAGTTAGGATCTTCTGTTTCAATGGCAGACTCCCAAGAGAACCAAGCTGACTCCATTATAGAATCTTCACAGGTTTTTTTGCTTACGTCAGCTAGCAGTGGTTCCGAGGTGCCGCAATCATCATTTGACAATGATGCCAACATCATCCCAGCCCCATCAAATATAGGCAATGATTCTGTAGTGTCCGGCACAGAGAACTTTGTATCGAGTGATTTGCAGGAAAGTGACCGCTTAGAAATGCAAAAAACTGGTGTGACGTCATCAAATTTAATGGACAATAATGCGGAATCGTCGACGTTTTCAGGCAATGTACCTCAAGACGATAACTGTGAAAGCGATATGGATGACTCCCAGGTTTCAACATCTTTGCAGATATAAGTATCTACAGCTTTAGTCATTGACTGGTGCATAACTATTGTCCGCCTGAAAATGCATCAAATGTGGAGTCTTCTCACTTAAAGGGCTCGTCTACATCTCAAAGAAACTTGTTTTCAGTTGTACATATTTAGCTATGCTTTGAGGTAGTTTACAAAAGTTTGGTTTCTCAAAGCCCATGTAACCTCAAAGATAGATAGTTTTTCACCTATTGACTGCCCATAATCGTTTTTCTTGGGTCTGTTGTACAATAAGTAGGCAATTAGTGGTAATAAATGACCAAGAATTGCATCTCGGATAATGTGTCCTTGGGTATACATTAACTTACAAATAAAGAGTTTATGTGAAGAAAGGCACTATTTAAAAGCTGTCATTGTAACCTTAATAACTTCTTGTATTTTAGAAGCGTGGAGATGGGACGCTTTGGTTTTTAGCTTTTTTCTATGTTTTTAGGATGAGGCAAATTTAGTACCATATGTTTGGGAAGAACTAATTGCTTCAAGTTAACAATTACCCACTGGATACCTGTTCTTACACATGCATGATATTATCACGAATATGCGGTGTGCTCCATATCCTTAATGACGTGTTTAATAATTCACTGAAGCATAAGAGTGTAGCAAAGGTGATGCTTTGTGTAACGAGAGACTCTCCACGTTCTCGTTACACGAAGTACTATGCTGCCCATTCTTCCAATAGTCTACTAGTTCTTGGTGGCAAGTAGTTCTATACTATGAAACAATTTTCAAGCCAGGCCGTGTATTGCTGTGTTGATACGTCGTATTAGTTATGGAGAACTTTGTTTCCGGATTTAATCAAGATGGTACCTGTTATTAATGTCAACAAAATGCTTACAAGACACGTCTCATTTTGAGTGTTCCTATGATACTTGTGAAGAGATTTACGTAACATATTATTCCTACTGTTCTTCGCTCTCGTTTATGTATAGGCCTGACTGCTAAAGTCACCAATTTATCGCGATTCCCGTTGCTCCATCTTGACAGGAATTTATTCTTTGTTTAGTTTTATGCAAATATACTGTTATAATCTTCTCGGAGTATTGTAAAAAAGCTGTTCTCTAGCACTTATGTACATGTTGAAAATGGATCCCTGCATATTCTAATATTGCAACCTTGAATGTCTGCAAGGACCTTTTGGAATTTTTGTGTCCATTGTAATTGTCCTAAATGCCAAGACAATAATGCATTTTCAAGTTATTCTGGAAAGCATGGAACTTCGAAAATGCACTTGCAAATATGATGCATTTGTGCAGCGTGGAAAAATTTGAACCCATGCCTCTATTTCAGCATTCATCTCTGAATAATTACTCTCTTTCATATGAATATGAATGAAAGGTACCCTTCTCAAGAAAAAATGTTATTGACAATCTTACCCCTTGGTGCTTTTTTTAAAATGGGGTACTGGAACCTATTCCTCACATTTACTAGGATACTAGGCTCTAAGCACAGTATCTGGCTTGCGCGAATTGTGATACCAGCATGAAAATTTGTATACTGGGCTAATTTCACACCGTGTTAATTTTGGACTGGGGTACTTTGTAATAGTGGTTTTTTGCAAATGAATCTTATCATTGAAACAAACTGGTCCTTCGATAAGAATTGAGACAAAGATACAAAATCATGATGTTCCAACGTCTATCTTCTGATCAGGGCCGTCGCGAGGAAAGCCTTGTTGGGGGGGGGGGTGGTGGTGGACTACAAATTTACCTGATTAAAAAATTTTTGCCTGAAATTTTTTAGTTGCAGTCACAAACTTCTGCAATGCATTTTGTCAATCTATCTTTGCATATAATTCGCAATTTTCATTTTTATATGATAATAATGGACTTTCCTAATAGTTTTCTCAAATCTCTATATCGGGACAGGCAACGGATATAGTTACTACCTGAGGCGGCACCATGGTTGCCGCCGAAGGAGTAGGACATTTTCGAATTTTGATGCATCTAGTTCCCTGGAAAATGCACTCTTTCAAGCACATTTTACTAAAGCAATCCTCCTAATCCTATTGAAAATCATTTTTTTGCAAACAAATTGAACAGCAGATAAAAACAACTGGTACAATTTCGCCGTGGTCTTGAGAAATACCATGTTGTCAGTTACTTCTAAAGCTAGGTAACAAGCAGCACTGGTTGTCAATTTAGATCCCTCTTTCCATCTTAGCATGCCTTTTGAATGTAAAAAAAATCTGGAGCTCATAGTGAATTGCAGTTGACGCTTCTACCGAGAAACTTTAGGGGAAATGGACACAAGACACAATTTTACCTAAAGTGGGCCTTGATTTTTCGATTTAGTGCCAACAAGAAATCTTCAAAACATTAGTTTGTTTACCTTCATTCATATCAAGTAATATCATATTTAACAAATGGAGCAACTACCTTTGCTTGATCCTTTATTGATTTTATGACATGAAGGTTTCTAAAATACCTAAAGCGTTTTTTTCCACCGAGCGGATTTTACCTGAAATTTCCTATTGAGATACTATTGGGGGTGTGAAACCCCCCCCCCCCCAGATACTATTGGGGGGGTGAAACCCCCCCCCCCCCGGTCGCGACGCCCCTGCTTCTGATCATGTGATCTTCCCGCGAATAAGGTGAATAACAAGTTATATGTTTTTTTACGGTTGTCCCGTAACGTCGAATCTTTCTCGTGAAATCAGGCACAGCCTTTCGCAAGAACTGTCCTCGCCAACATCAAATCGTTCACAATTATCCCAATCGTCACGCGCGATTCCATAAATAACAACACATATCCTACAACAAAAACCATAGATCATGTCGACAACATCTTTCACAATCATCTTGCCACATAATATAAGTAAATCGTCAGAACCTAAAAATCCTATCCTTATCGCTCTTAACCGTAGCTCCAACTCCAACTAACTCTGTCAAATAACACGCCCAAATTATAACATAAACAAGAACTAATTGAAATACTACATAGCTACTCATTTTCATTGTAACGTTTATGGGTTCTTGTCATGACGGTGAATAGCCCGTTAATAACCAGCTTGTTGGTAGAGCGATGCGAGGGGCAAATCACTCCAAGAAAATCTCGTACACTTTTTGCGAAAACCCTATTGTTTTATCTGAAAATCGCTGGAAATCCTTTTGTTTTAGGGAAAATTTCGTACGCCATTTGCAAGAGTGAATTGCCCCTCGGAGCGATGGGCTAGGCCAAAGGGCCTAGGCCCCGAATAAGTAACGCACAAAATATACTACTTTTTTGGTGTTATTTCTAAAGCTTCAACGGAAATACTAACTTATATCGTGATCAACACACACTAATAACATAAACGGAAGCTAATTAACAGGAAAATACAAGCGTCACACTACATATTGAAAGACAAACACATTGCCATAAAGAGACGTACACTAACACAACAGGACTTAACAGAACATGTGACTTTAGCCGTCGTTTCTAAAAGACTGAACACTCCAAGAATAGGCTGAAAACCCCATGAACACCCCAAGAACACCCTAAGAACAAGCTATTAAGCGGCTGAACACCCTTTAAAACATATTAAAATTGGCATATGTAAAATAACGTATTTTACAGGACAGGTAAAGCTCATAAATCAGACTCCAGTTTGCAATAACGTTTTTAAAAAACCAAGATTCTTCAATAGCGATCGTATAATTAGCAGCAACCAACAACTACAAAATGACGACTTTATTCAACGAAAACTTCGACTCGACTGGACTTGCACTCAAAGAACATACGCTTTTAACAACACGAGTGACGCACATAAAACCCTAATGACACAAATTAACGGCAAATGAACTAATAACAACTAAAAAGAGATGGCACGATGACAAACAAAATTACTGACGCAAACATCGAAAGACATTCTCATTAACAATAACGAACCACAAACACGATGCACGACAGACAAAACTAGTTGTATAACATTACTCCCTCCTTCAAAGACAAGCCTCCTGGCTTGAATTATTCAGAGAGAGAAATGCAAATAGAACAACAAACAAAACAAGAAATTTAAAATAAAGTTAGTTCACAATACAGCTACTTCATGTAATATCTCTAAGCGGTTCTCCGTAGTCTGTTTTCAAATGTCCATGTTTCCAATCAAGTTTGTGTTTCTCTTGGAGGGATTCCCTTTTATCAGCCATTTGTTGTCTTTCATGACAAATCTCTTTTCCAAGCGAAGAAACGTGCTCGTAAGATTCCATCTGATTCTGCCCTTGCGTTTCATAAGAATGATTAGGCACTGATGGAACAACATCAAACTTATAGGGCATTGTCCAATCCTTGAGTTCTCGATTTAACTCCCTCAAGTCCCTCATTTTGGCTTCCAGTCCATCTAGTGCGTTCTGAAAATTTGATACATACTGCGGGATCCCAAACTTGATACTGTCTTTGACGTCACTAGCCTGGGCATATCGCCTGTCCCAGCAGTATTTTGAAACGTGGCCTATTCGTAAGCAGCTGTAACAAATAGGCCGTCCGTCCTCCCCTCTGTATACGTTTGTGCGGTTGGCGAAGGGGTTTCTTGCTTTTTCTTCAGCCAGCCTTATCTTTTCAGCCATATAAGCGATTACTTCTGTGACGATCTCTAATAAAATATCCTTCGATTGCTCCAACGACATCATTTTTTCAGCTCCAAATGAAGGTCGCGAGTTGTCACGTCGTGGTCACCAATGTAAAACCACTGAGTTTACGAGGGTTTTACAGGCTTGTGTTCGCAGATTCGGCAGTAAAAGAAAGTACAAAATTCAATAAGCGTGTTCTGATTTCTTGGCTCGACGGTTCCTATAGTTTCATCTAATTCAACAACGACTAAACGGGTCACTTCGGCAAAACTGGTATGCTTCAAACTTCTTGAAATAACAACGGCTATCCGAACATCTGAAATCACGTCTAAACCTTAGCGACTAAATTAAACGACTGAATTACTCACAAAAGCCAACAAATATTTTACTCAACAGCAATTAAGATAATAAGGACAGTTATACAAAACAGAACAAAGGAGCTGATCACAAGACAGGCTGTTACATGGAAATTGGCCAAGGTGCTAACAAAAGTCAAACAAGCAAATGAAATTCAAACAGCAAACAAGCAAAAGTTTCCTTAACGAAATTCTGTCCTTTTACACATATCACTCGAAAAATAATTTGGTCAATCAATCAAAATTAATTTTGGGGCAGGAAAGGGCCTGATAAGTCTAATGCTGTCGATGTTGTTACAACCAACGGTTGTTTTGCGCGCCAAATGTGTGAAAGGGGGTTTGTAAATTGTTGTGTGGCTAAAGTTCCTGGCAACAAAATTCAAGTTCCAATTCATTTTATATTCAGAAACATATTTAGAAATTTGTAACAATAAGATAATCATATAGTTATTTACAGTCCATATAATTCATATTTTTACAATATATAGTTGCCTAAGGAGCTGAAAGGAACCGCAACACCCACAAAAACAAGCAAATTTTCCGACAAAATCCCTTAAAATTGTGCTTTAACCGACGACTTTGGGCGCTCGCCCCAAAAACCCACGCAATTTCTGCCACATACATAGTTCAAGTAAGATTATCATGGTCCCATTCGAGCACGGGCCCCAAAATTTGCCCCTCCTAAGCCCTCTTTAAAGTACCCTCCAACAAGTCCTACACTGTGCATTTTCTGTTTCATTTGTCAAAAATTCCTTATAAAAATCAGTGGCGTACCCAGGGCCGGAGAAGTGGGGGGAGGGGGGGGGGGTTCAGAAATTTTTAGGGACCACGCCCATCAAACACTCGCAAATGCGGGGAAACTCCCTTTTTGCAAAATTGCACCCAACTATTTGATTCATGTTAGCTACGGTAAATAGCAAAGTATTTTACAATTGTTATTGACACAATCATACAGTATACTACAACC